GAGGAAGGGGATGTCAGAGGTCAGGTGAGGACCAATGGGACATCATGCGCCGAAAAATATCTGGATTTCATACTATGATAATTATGGTTAATTATGTTTTTGTGTTGTTTTGTTTTGTTTTTGTAACCTAGCAAATGAGCATAGGCTTTGACATTTTAGACCTCATTGCACCAGAAAAAGAGTTTGGGTTTCAAACCAATGATAATTAAGGTTAATTTCTTTCTTTTTTTTTTTTTTTTTTTAGAATAAATATGTACAAAGAAGTGTTTTCTCATTTTTATTTTTTTGGTTAGCTTCTTTTTTTAACTAGAAAATGCCTGGACATTTCAAACCTCAGATATCATACAGATGGTTTGAAATCTTGATTCTGAATCTTATAATATTTATGATATCAAATTAGTAACTGAACCACTCTTTGCTGGTTTCTTAGACATTAGAGGGGGATCCCTTCATTCAACAAGTATCTGTTGGATGTTTACTCTGTGCCACTCACTATTTTATGGGTTGGATACTCAACAGTGAACCAGATTCTCCATCTCACGGAGCCTATATTTCAGCCGCAGGAGGGATATAACTACATAAATACAATATACCAAATGGTGATAAGTGCTATAGAAAAAAATATGAATCAGTGTGAGGGCAACAGAGAGTGCTGATTCACAGAGTTCTCAGAGAAAGTCTCCCTGAGAAGGTGGCATGTGAGCAGGTATCTAAGTCAGGGGTGAGAGTGAGCTGTGCAGGTCCCTTGGAGATTGGAATATTTGTCCTATAGAGTAACTTTCGGGATTAGAGAATGTTGTAAGCATTCAGCTCACAGTAGGTATTAACATCAAACATATCGTAGACTAGGATGGAAGGGGTGCCACTCAGGAGAGGAAGAACTGGAGATTAGAGAGGGAAATTTTTATTTCATCCTGAGGAAATCACCAGAGAAAAGGGACAATGTGCTGGGGAAGCAGTGAGACTCGGCGGAGAGGGTGAGTGGGGCTGTGCCGCCCGGCTCCTACACGTGCATGCAGGTCTGGGCATGGAGGCCGGCTGGGGTGAGGCCGCAGCGGTCTCTGGGAGGCGCTTGTGTCTACACACGGGAGCACCGGCCTCCAAAATGAGGATGGACCCTTGGAGATGCAAAGCGTCATGGACGAAACTCAGCTGTCAAGATCCATCTTGTTAAAGCTCAGATTAAACTGTGTTTCTCAAACAATAGGTCACCATCATTTAGTGGACTGTGGAACCCACTTAGTGGATTCGGAATAGCACTTCTTAAATGAAATTGGATTGGACAGGGTAGAGGCAAACAGGGACAGAACAAGATGGCATAGGGAGCAGTAGTGTGTGGCTCTGGGGCTGTGTGATTGTTCTGGGTCACCAGGAAGATGAAGCCTTCTTCTTACCATGGGGTGTGGCTTTTAAAAAGTGTTACAAATGAGTTAGAACAGGTGGTAGCACGGTCCTGCTTCATTGTTCCTTCTTGTCTGTTTTATGGAATCCAGCCAGTGCCTTCCACCCTGCAGGAGGTGTTGCCGGAGCCTGCTGATGGGGCATGTGGCGTGCTGGTGGACAGGAAGCCCGGAGCTGATATTCCCATAACCCGTAACCGGAGTGGTCGAGATGCCACTTTGTCTTTTATACTTTCTGTGTTGATAGTTGTAACACTTTCCACCTTTTAAAGAGATGCTGTATATAGTGTTGAAGACACCAGGCATCTTGCCTGCCTTCCTGGTGGGACCCTGTCTAGTCCAGTGCATAACAGACTGGTTTCCAGTAATGTCCACCTTACCTATCCCCGTGAGGTGTGTCTTGTTATTCCCTCCACTTTACAGAAGAGGGAACTGGGGAGACCTGGGCTCAGAGAGGGTGAGTAACTAATCTTAGAGCACAGGGCAAGTGAGTGACAGAAACTTGGCTCTGTGGGAGTCCAGAGCCCGCAGTCCTGGCCTCCTTGCCATGGCTGCTCTCTGTGGCACTGAGCACAGCCCAACATCCTAAATGAGGAGGCAGGTAAACTTGACATTGAAACTAGGCCTTTTATGGGTCCTAAAATTCTTCCTCTGACGGCTTCATAGAATGGCCCAACTGAACCCCAAGTGTCTGCCTGAATGAATAAATTGGAAGTGTCTCCGCCCTCCGTGCAGACAGGCTGATTCGTGTGCAAACCCCGCTCCGTGGGTGTCACCGGGATGGGTGATGAGGCAGCCGTGTGTGGAGAGGCACAGGTGTGCAAGTCCAGCCTAGACAGGCTTCGTTCTAAGCAAGTCTCTTCCCACTTGTGTGGCTCCTGCAGTGGGTGGGGTGGAAGAAGGGAGTGGGTGGTGACACTTTAGAAAGAGAAGGGCAGAGTTCAGACTCCTGTCTGCGTCTATTTGATGGTAAGAATGGGATTTCTTTTTTTTTACCTTTTTTATTTTAATTTAATTTTTTTTCTTTTTTGAGACAGAGTCTCACTCTATTGCCCCGCGTGGAATGTCATGGCATCATAGCTCATAGCAACCTCAAACTCCTGGGTTGGAGAGATCCTCTTGCCTCAGCCTACTGAGTAGCTGGGACTACAAGCATCTGCCACAACACCAGGAGAGGGTAGTTTTTCCATTTTTTGGTAGAGACAGGGTTTTGCTCTTGCTCAGGCTGATTTTGAATTCCTGAGCTCAAGTGATCCAGCTGCCTCAGCCTCCCAGAGTGCAAGGATTACAGGCATGAGCCATTGTGCCAGCCCCCAGAATGAGAGTTCTTAGTTAATATAGTTCTTAAATGCTAACATTTATTTACTCAACTCCCTCCCACCCTTCCTCCTCCCCTCCTATGCACAATTATTGGCAATCTACAATGTTTTAGGCTCTGACCTGGGGACATTATATATTATGATTAAAAATAAATAAACAAATGAAGAGAGTGGCGAGGTTTCTGCCCTCTTTGTACAGAGAAGACCAATAAATTTGCAAGTAAGCACAAAATAGTCAGATAGGGCTAAAGAATTAAAACTCGGTGATGTGGTGCCTGATTGGGGTGAGTGGGACCAGTCTCCTCCGAATATACTCTCACAGCACACCTGGGAACCCACGTTAGCCAAGCCTGCTGGGTGCTGTGGGCTCCTCTCTTCTCCCGAACTCTCCGACTCCACCAGGGGCACCCCTTCCCTCAGGGAAGATGAATTGATTGATAGGGAGAAATTGAGAACACGTTAGTATTTTTCTCTTCCAGGGGTAAATTAAACTCTCCACTTTCTACAGGGACTCGATGAGAAGGAAACAGACATTTTCTCATCACTCCAGTGTGTGGATTAGGAATAGTGATTATTCCAAATTCTAAAATGAATGCCTACTGCTGGAAGGATGTGTGGGTCATGGAAGCAGAAATTGAGACCTTTTTTTTCCTCATGCTAAATCAGCGGTTCTCAACCTGTGGGTCACGACCCACAGGAACTGTATTAAAGGGTTGCGGCATTAGGAAGGTTGAAAACCACCGAATTAGAGGAACTTAAACCCTAATCAGGAATGCCAGAGTGCATGTAATAATTAATAAAAAGCTATTTTTGATGGTTTTTCATTCGAATATGCCAAAATATGACTCAGACTATATGTGATGTTTGGAGTTAGAGAAGTGAGAAGAAAGATAATGTAGATTTAAGTTTTTCCTCCAAAATATTAATTAAAAATGTCTGGCCATTTAGAAACTCAGCTGCTGTTTCACTGGAAGGGGTTGTGATAAGTCCCTCTGGTTTCATCCAGTGCTGCCATCCCCGTCCTGCGACCACAGTCCCTAAAACAGTTCTACAACAAGGTGGATGGGAAGAAGGAAGGATGGACAGACCTGCAGTTGGCAGGGTCTGCGGAAACTTTCCTGAATGGGGGAAGGGGGGCAGGATTAGGGAGAGGGGGCAGCAGTTTTCAAACATTTCTGTTTTCGTTGAATGCTCACCAGTGTGGATGTATCCCCAGGATCCAGAGCCATAGCCAGCTGTCCCTGGATGTCCGGAACTCGGAGTACCTGGCCAGCATGCCCCCACTGCCCGCAGAGTGCCTGGACATCGATGGTGACTGGAGCACCCTGCCTGTTATCTTCGAGGACAGATACGTGGACTGTCCGGGCAAAGGTATGTCTCTGTCATTTTGGATAGAATCAGAAATAAGATTTTCCAGTGAGTTTCAGGCTGTGGCCCTTCTTGGATCCCAGCAACAGTGGGACTGAATTAACGAACCATTTTGTCAATCCATAGAGAGGAAGCAGATTAATTGTTTGAAATGACTTTAATTCAGTGACATGGACAAATCAATCATCTAATGAAAGAGGGCTGGTAGTGAAAAGCTTTTCCAGACCCCTTCTGGGGCAGAAATGCAGGCAGGGCCTCAGTGTTCACATCTCTAAAACAGGAACCAGATTCCCGCCCACTAGAGTGTCAGCAGAGTCGGACAAAGAGCCTTCCTGATTTCTTCTCTAAAATGTGTGATTCCAATGTAAAGTCATTTCTAGTTAAGTTGTGATGACTTTGGTTTCAGATTCCTTATGAGGGTCCTGCTTTGTGCCACAAGACCAGCAAAGTGTTCAAGTGTGTGCCTAGGTTAATGGCACTTTTGGGTCCCACAGCTTTACCTGCGGAAACCCAACAAGGGCCTGGCAAACACTAGGCCTGATGCTGAAGTATCAGGCATTTTTTTTCTTTACCCTTATAGATAACCAAACAATCTCTATTTTGCAGAGAGAACCTGAGGCATAAAAAGTTTAAGAATTTATTAAAGATCATGTAGTTTATTCACGCCAACATTCAAAACTAACTCACTCTGCCTCCAAACTGCAAGCTTTACCTTGCTGTCTGTAAGGATTTTTAAGTCCTATGTTTAGGCTCTCATTGTTTGAATGATATATTATAGTGGCCAAATTTCAGAGCTTCTGCAACCTGGGACTGCAGGATGGGTTTTAAAACGCAGATGACTTCCAAGGACAGTGCGACCTTGCAAACATTAGAAGTTATCTGGTTCTCAGTAGTTGTATCCTGCCACCTAGTGACAGCACTGTGTATGACAGCTAAGATGTGACCGGCCCAGAAACGGCTCCCACCCCGCTGGTAGAAACAAGTGTGAGACAGGGCGTTGCAAGTTTGCTTG